TGTGTGCCCAGCATATACAAGTCTATCTAAGAACCAAACCCTGATCTTCCATGTGACACTAGCATCAGAGTGGTGTGCTATCACTACACCCACCGCAGCTGGGATCCCTTTTTCCTTCTCTCTCTATTTCTATTTCTCTTTCTTTCTTCCATTATTTCTCTTTTCAGTCGCCAAAGTATATGTGTTCTCACCTGAGAGAGACAAGGGGAGAGAGAGAAAGAGAGGGAGGGAGAATGCACTCCCCCCTCCCAGTGCAGTATGGGCAGGCTGTAATCCCTTCTCCTTCATTTCTCCATTCTGTTGGTATTTTGGGCACACATGCCCAAGCACCTAGTGTGTTTTTCAAGCTACTGGGGCTAGGATTCAAACCACAGAGGCTCATGTGAGATTTAGTTCCCTTAATCACTAGGCCATGGAACCAGCTGATAACTATTTCTTTTGTCTAGAAAAAAATGCTAAGTATAAGTCATTTTTTCCACTAGATCCAAAGTTGAGCCTGGACTTTCAAATAGTGGCTCCTATATTCTACTTGCATTCCTCCAATATGAAGATCCAAGTAATCAAAACATGAACACTCTGGGGCTGGTCCCATGGCCTGGTGGTTAAGGGAGCAAGATCTCATATGAATGATCACACTTAGAATCCCAGCTCAGTAGCTTGAAAAACATGCTGGACGTGTGTGTGTGTGTCCAAAATCTGGACAGAATGGAGAATAAATTGTGGTTTGACTGTGTTCCCTTGGGTAGTACATTCTCTTTCTCTGTGTCTTTCTGCTCTCTATCTCTCTCCAATAAATGCATGTACCCTCTGGCAGTTAAAAATAGAAACATGAATGCTCTGAGACAGACATTGCCATTCTCTGACCACATAATATCAAGTAATCTTTTCAAAACTTTAAAAAAATAACTACTTATTTAATTTTATTTATTATTAATATTATTTTTTAACCAGAGAGAAAGAGAGGGAAAGTTAAAAGCAAGCCACCAGGTCTGGAACTCAATCTGTGGTCAGCCATGTGGGAGTCCAACTCATTAACCACCATGCGACCTGCCGACCCTGAAGCAACCTTCCTAATGATTCTTTTGGGTTTCAGTTGTCCTTGGTGGAAGGGGAGAGATAATGCCTGCTATTTCATGTTTGTCATTAATGATCCAAGCAAATAGCAGGAGGTGCTTGACACATATTAGGTATTCAAGCAGGTGCCCTGCCTTCCCTGAGCCTGGGTCACACACTCCCATTCATCTGTCTTCCCAAGGTCAGACATTGGATAAATTTAAGGTCAGGAAACATTAACATTTGAAAACCAGTAGGCACATGTCTAGTAAATAGTGGCCCTTAAACATGATGCTGAGAAAACACACACACACACACACACACACACACACACACACACAATCGCAGAGAGGAAAAATCTACCGCTAGGTTAGGATAGATTTTTTTAAAGAATTATTTTATTTAATTTTTAAAATTTTATTATCATCATTTTTTTTTTAATTTGCCCAGAGAGAGAGAGGGAGAGTGAGAAAGCAAGCCACCAAATCTGGGACTTGAACTATGGTCAGTCGTGTGGGAGTCCAGCGCCTCAACCACCACGCCACCTGCCAGTTCCAGCATAGATTGTTATCAGTTCTTTTCTAGAAACAGGCTAAATGTTTATCCTAAGTCTCTGAGGACAAAAAATCTCATTAAATGAGCCCTGTTAGAAAGAAGATCAACCTGAGTGTGTGACCGTTAAGAATTACAGAGTATTTTCAAATGAAAAACAGTTTTTCTCCCTGATACATAGAGAAAATCAAACCCAGGAAAGGTCTGGGTAGTTGAGATTCTGCCAAGCATATTTCATGGCCAAGGAAGAAAGGTTTATAATTACAAGCCCCATTTGCATAAAACTATTGCTATATTTGGGATAGATCGAGATATTTGAAAACAGATTGTTCTCATGAAATTATAAACATTTCTCCTACTATCACAATTTTGTACTATTTACTATGGGATTCTGAAACAAACAGAGGTGAACGACAGTAGACTGAAGTCTGTTTTGAAGAAATGTTCATGGGCACTGTGAATTTGTTGGGATTGAATTAATAATGTCTTTTGTTTGACTTTCCCCAGGTCAGTGTGATAGTTGTTAAAGCAAAGCATTCCTTCATCATTTTGCCCAATCTTTCCAAATTATTCTCTAGTTTATATAGATGCTCCTATTTCTCCATTCCTTCCTATCATTGTATTGGCACTTTCTTTGCAATAATTTCAGTTATTTTTAAAAAATAATGAATTTTATTTAACTTTATTTATTTATTTATTCATTTATTTTCATTTGACCAGGAAGGGACAGAGTGAGAGAGAGAGGAAAAGTGAGAAAGCAAGCTGCCAGGTCCGGGACTCAAACCGTGGTTAGCCATGTGGGAGACCAGCGCCCTTAACCACCATGCCACTTGCCAGCCCCATTTTAATTTTTTTTTTTAAGAATCATGATTATAGAACTCAACAAAGAGAAAAATTATCCATGGAATGATAAACCCTAAATATTAGTACTGTCTACTTCTAAGGGGCAAGGGGAAAAGAAGCTAATAATTGCTCTAGTCAACCTTATCAGGGCCTATAATTTCTAAGCTAAAATACATTTTTTTCTCAAAATTTTCAGGTTTATTTTTCCTAATAAGGGATTTCAGCCTTGGAAAAATTAAAAGTCATCTATTTACTCTTATTTTGTAAGTTCTACAACTGCAAATATATTTTGTAAGTTCTACAACTGCAAATAAAAGCCAGAAAATTTTTGTAAGTGGAAAATTATCTTCTCCCCATAGTCATAGACTTTATTAATTTAGACCCAACTGTACTGTTTTGGGTGGTAAGATGCCTGTGGTTCTAGCTAACTGAGAGGCTGGGGCAGGCTTTTTCGAAAATTCCTCTCTCTCTCCTTTCTATATTTTCTCTCTCTATTTCTCTCATTAAATAAACAAAGCAAAACAAGAGGGTCAGCAAGTAGAGTGGTGGTTAAGGCAGTTGAATCCCACATTGCTGACGGCAATTCAAGTTCTGGACCTAGCAGCTTTAAAACACACCAGGCACATATAGATGCATGCCCCAAATCCCAAGAGGATAATGGAGGAGAAGGGATTGTGGCATGGCCATCCCCTCTTGGGGCTTCTCTCTCTCTCTCTCTCTCTCTCACAAGTGCATGTGCCCTATAGAAAATTTGAAAGAATGAAAGAAGAAAAAGAAAAAGATCTTATTAATATAATGGTTAAAGGGATTTAACTCAAACCCTGATCCTCTCAAATGAAAAAAAAGTCACCATAATTGAATGATAGTCAGAAAAGTTAAGGAAATTTTAAAGGCATAAAGGCATATTTTTAAATGGAGAGTGGAGAGAATGACAGATGTGGTCTTAATTCTATAATTGATACTATAAAAATTCTTAATTATACTGGTAATTTAAAAAATACTTGCCATATGAAAATGTTTAAATGGTATTGGACTCAGGACTAAAACAGGAAAAATCTCTGAGGTTGGGCTAAACAAATTCTTCTTTACTAAGTATAATCAAATTTAATTCATGTGATTGTTTGGGGCTGTGACAGTCATGAGAGCTGTCATTGGGAGTCTGTTCCTCCCCACAATGTGTCTTTCTTCTGGGTGGTCCATGTCGCTAGCCAGTCTTGGTGGACCTATAAGCACAATATTCCTTCACACACCTTGTTGTACACCACTGAGGCATAGGTTGCCTCTGCGAGAAACATGCAAGGCTTACTCCAAACAAGAATGATTTGGGTAATCAATGTAAAAATGATAAATGATGGAACTATTATCTTAATTTTGTAAAAATTCTTGCTATGGGGTGCGTATACTCACAGGAGACAAAGAAAGTGAGGAAGCACCCCCTGCCTCTGGGGGATGGCTGTACTGCAATCCTTTCTCCTCTTGGGATTTTTGTGCACACATGAGCATGTACGAGGAATGTTTTTCAAGCCACCAAGTCTGGGACTTGAATGTGTAGTCAGCCATGCGGAATCTAGCTGCCCCAACCTTCACACCATCTTCTGCCCCCATCTTATTTTATTTATTTATTTTTTGAGAGACGTTTGCTATAGGGCATATATGCTTGCCGGAGAAACAGAAAGACAGAAACTGAGAAATCATCCCCCAGGGTGTATGGCCATGCAGCAATCCCTTCTCTTCCATTCTCCCCTCAGGATTTTGGACAGACACACACACGCTGGTGTGAATTTCAAGCTGCCAGGTCTGGGACTCGAACTGCAATTGGCCACGTAGGAGTCCAGCACCTTAACCACTATGCCATGTGCTGAACCCTCATCTTATCTTTTTTAATCATCTGAACATAAATGTGGCACATGAGAAAGACTTAGACCACATAACCAACTATTTTACCAGGAAAGTTTTTGAAGAGTCCTACATGAAGTGTGTTCCACTGTTCAATCATCTTTCTTGCATTCCCTTCCTCTTTATTGTTGGTACAGATGGAAAGAGTTACAACTTGTAGACTTCATTTTTCTTTCTTAAAAAAAGGACACTACCTTGAAGGCCAGCAGGTAGTGTGGTGGTTAAGGTGCTGGACTCCCACATGGTTTGAGTCCTGGATCTGGCAGCTTGCTTTCTCACTTCTCTCTCTCTCTCTCATCAAATTAAAAATAATAATAGCAATAATAATAATAATACAATTAAATAAATAATTCTTTAAAAAATACAAAGGACATTACCACTCGGGAATTTCACAGGCAAGGACAAAAGTCATCCCCCACACACACACACACGTACATACACACTGGATGAGTATGCACATGATTGATTAGGCAGTTTACTGGCAAAAGGGCAAAGCATGGTGGGAAAAGCATGATTCTTCCACAAGCCCCACCGGCTAGCATTATAGCTCAAGTTTGGGCTTCAATTTGAGTTCTTCACCACCTGACAAAGAACTATGGTTCCTCTCCTGTTTTGGGGGTGGGGGGATGCTACCCTCAAAGAGACCTGGGTCTTACCTTTGAGCTACACTTGTAGAGTGGGTGACTGATAGAATCAACATAGTGATGCCTCATGCAGCGTCGAGGGTCCGAGTCCATCATGAACGAGCTGTCTGTTTTGCTGTCTGTATCTCCCATGATCGCCAGCAGGGAGAGCATAGAAAAGGATGCAGCTAGTACATGATTTCTCATTGTTGTAAGGAAAGTCTTCTCCAGAAGAACAGCAGAGGGAGGCAGAGGACAAAAAATTGGAAATGCCTGCACCTCCTAGGATCCAGTTCCTTTCAAGGAAAGGGTAGGATCTGGTTGAAGCTTTCTGGTTGTCATTGTCCTTTGTATGCCGGAGTTTCGTCTTACTCTTTGCACTTGCAATCCATCATAGTATCTGCCGCACAGCTGGAATGGAAACAGAAATTATTTTCCCCAGAAATATTTACCCTAAAACACTGATGGAACCCAGGGGGTAGTGACTCGAATTTTTCCATGTCATTTTGAGTGGAGAATATTGGTTTCTAGAGTGTCATTAGTATACACTGTTATTCATTTCATACTCCCTCCCTCCGCCCATAGCTTATACTACATATTTATAACCATTTGGAAGTGGACACAATGGTTTAATGGAAGCACATGTTGACTTTAATTGCCAGAGTCCATGTTCCTAGAGGCAAGAATAGTTTGAACCATGGTGAAGATTAAACATGTGGTTCTGGCCACAATGTAACTGAATTGGGTGGTCTCATCCTTATCCTCGGGTGATGGGGGCAGGAGGATCTATTCAGTTTCTCGGTAAGCATTGATGTCAATGTCAGCTTACAGGGCTAAATAAAGAGGAGGCAGGCCCTCGCTAATGTCCCATGGGGAAGCACATTTTCCATTTTACAAGTTCATACCCACCCACCCACCTAGTTTTCCAATTTGATGCTCTGGGCTCATCCTGTTTTTGTGTTAAGCCCGTGCCACCCAGCATCAGTGACAAACTGCATCTGAAATACACATTATGTGCACTGGCCTCCAGCATGATTAAGGCAGCACATGTATATTTGCCAACAGAGTCACACATTTCTGTAGAGCTTTTGTAACCTGAGTGCATAGAGAAATTTGAAAAAGAAAGCAGTTCTTGGAGCAGAGACTTATCGTTTAAATGGAATCATGCTCTACTGGTTTTCCTGCAGTTTGCTTTGTTCTTTTAAGCCATATCTCTTGGACAAAGAACTGAGGTCCAGAGATCTCTCCCAAACATCTCACTAACCCCAAGATATGGCCCACACTGATGCTTTCTATCACAGCAGAAGAAAAAGAGTATCAAAAATATTTGCATGCATTTAGAAAAATTAGGAAAACCTGATATTACATCCCAAACAAAAGGGGTGTGATAATTAAAGCTTCAGAAAAACTTTTAAGATAGTGTGAATGAAAGTTGGATTATTTTATTCATAATATAACTTTTTTTTTAACTTTCTACACACAAGCAGTCTGAATAAACAGGGCAAAATGTTGACAAAATCAAGATGAGACGTTCAAATCAGTAGAAGCCAATTTGTTTTGCCCTAATAGAGCGGCCTCAGATTCACTCCACCACATTTAGCTGTCTTGCAAGTGAGGGTTGGGAATAATAAGCGGAAATGGGCATGTGAGATAGGGCTATTTCAGAGCAGAGCATTCCTGGCAATCAGCACATTTGTTTCAGGGAAGTCTTATAATTTGCAGGAAAGGCAGGACCAATAATGAGGGGATCCACCTGGACTCAAGTCCGGGCACTACCATTAATTACCTGCGAGACCTTACACAGGTCATTTTCAGCTCTTCCTCATCTGTAGGAGAGGGGAATTGGAAGACAAGACATCTGCTGCCTCCTCTTGCTCTAAAATGCCACCACTTGATTAGCTATGAGTTCAGCTACTGCCATCTCATGTGCAGAAGGTAATGCTAAAGTTGAGGAGGCCATCTTTTCATACAACTTTGCACCACTTCTCTAGGAGTACTATAATGGCAACATCTCATTAAAAATGGATCAAACCTATGCTGACAGTTCCAAATTGGCAAAGGATGCAAATAAGCTTCTTTAAAAAAATTGTTCAGCTGCAAACTCTAGATTCTCCCATACACATTACTCTGAAATTTACCAAGACATCAGCTCAAAAAGTCAGAACTTTCTTGGGGTCCATGTTCAGAGAATAGAACATTACTGACCATTTCCTGAGTTTCCATATGACTAAATTGTCCCAAGTGAGTATCTGTCTCTTTGAAGCCTTAATTAGTCTCAGAAGGAGAATTGATTAGATTTCTCCCTTCACCACTGTAGTCTACAGATATTTCCTCCATGAGTCGATGGCAAATGGATGAAAGGAAAAGCAGGCATTCCAATCCTGGCTCTCCCTCCTGACTTGCAGCAAATTTTCTTCAGAGCTGTGACCAGGATGTACAATTAAACCATCAAAGCAAATTAAAGAAAAACACGTATAGCCTGATGGCAAAAACAAGCAACATCAATAACAAAACCCCCCAACATGTGCATGTATAGTTGTATTTGTTGATTTCCATTTTCTCCATAGGAAAGGCATTATAAAGGGCCCTTAAACATAGGATGTGGCTGGGGCCAGCAGGTGGTATGGTGGTTATGACATTGGCCTCCCATATGACTGACTGTGGTTCAAGTCTCAGATATAGTGGTTTCAAGGTCATGCCGAGCACATGTGCATATGTGCCCCAAATCCCAGGAGAATGGAGGAGAAGGGATTGTGGTGTGACCATCCCCTCAGGGGGTGATTTCTCACTTTCTTTCTCTCCGTTTCTGCTCTCTATGGCAAAGACCTTTAAAAAAAAATAAGAGATGGCATTCTTCTCATGGAAGAGAAATGAAAATTGCAGTGCTTTGACATTCCTTGTTCAACCAATCAGATTTACAAAAATTTCAGTCTGATCATGCACCCTGTTAGTAAAGCTGTGGGAAAACAGACCTATCTTAGAGACTGTATATCAATTGATACAGAACAAATTGGCAATGTCTTTCAAAAATACAGATGTAGAGGCCAGCAGGTGGCATGGTGGTTAAGGATGCTAGACTCCCACATGGCCGACCACAGTTCAAGTCCTGGACTGGGTGGCTTGCTTTCTCATTTCTCTCTCTCTCGTTCTCGCTCTGTCCCTCTCTGATCAAATTAAAATTAAATAAATGAATAAATAAAAGTTAAATAAAATAATTCTTAAAAAATGTATCATGACTTTTCTGACAACTCAACATATAAAGAAAGCTACAGAAACTCTATTTACTGATTTGTGTTACAGTTAGGAAAAATAATTAAAAAAATTTGTGGATAGGCAAGCTCTGGAAGGATATCAAAGAAACTGAAATTACTTACCTATGGCAATTGGGGGACAAGCATGATGGAAATTCTTTTTTATTGTATAGCTTATATTTTTAGGTGTTTGAACTTGTACTGGATTATCTATTCAAAATTTCATTAAAAGGTACTTTCTTCAAAAAAAAAAACTTAGCTTAAAAAGCTTAAAAATGGTAACTAAGGGGGGCTGGCTAAGGGAACTGTATTCCCACATGACCTACTGCAGTTCAAGTCCCAGACCTGGTGGCTTGC